TACCTTGTCATAAGAGAGGAATGCAATCTCCATATTTATGAGCAAAAACACTGCACAGAAGACTATTTCTAGCACACTACAAAAAGCTCAACAGCCTCGACTTGAAGCAGTGAAGCAGTTAAACAGTTAATCAAATACTGAGTGATCAGATAAATAAAACACACTTAATAAACTAGTAATCTTATGCTTAAATGCTTGAAATAAGTTTTGTAGACACATATAAATTATGCCTATGTATATTGTATGGAGTTGCAAAACTAAAAATGTAAAATTGTTCTTTATTTTTAAATGAATTCGTTTTTAAAATAAAAAGAACATTATTTACTCTGAGCCTTTCTGGGCTTGTACAGACTGGAAGCAGGTGTACAGAACTCTACCAGTCTACAAGAGAAATGGAAAGAAAAATCATGGTAAAAACGTGACAAAATAGTAACTCTTCAGAAGCTCTTGTTTTCATTTTAAGATGGCGAGCTTAACATACCTTTGTGTTTTTATCTTCTATAAAGCATGAGAAGATGAGGCCAACAAAACCCTGATCCATCATCTGATACATTGCTTGAGTCCTAACATCTGCATAATGTGAGAACAATTGCAATTTATTCAAATAAAAGGAAGATATTAATAATGCATATTTCCATGCTTTCATTCAAAAAACTAACCAACATGTGATGGCCACACAGTGATGTGTGGATGAGAGTGGTACCAGCCCACAACCCTCATGGGACGTCCCGTCATGTCAGCCAACCTGTGCTTCATATTAAGAAAATGTGCTGAAATAGCATCAGGATTACACTTTATTATAAATGTCATTAAGAAGTAATTATATAGTACTTCCAATAAATGTGTATTGATATATGAACATAATGAGGTCCAAATGCCTGAAACCACTAGTCAATTAGTGCATTCTTCTATTTTAAACCTTTTCCCCATTATACCGTTATTATATTTTGAGCTTATCGGTTTGAGTGAAAAGTTTAACTGAAACATGTACAAGAATATTAGAAGGTCTTGAAATGTATAATTTTGCTTTAATAACAGCAGCACCCACGTTTACGCAAAACCTCATGGTCTGTATTATTCAGTACAATCTGAGAATGTTCCAAAGAATATATTGTGATTTTACTGAATACTTGGCTAATGTCACAACTTTGCTTGATTTGGTCAACTAGAAATAGTGCAGAATATTGTTTACTCGTTTTACATCTTAAGGGTTCTTTTGTTTAAAATAGTTTCAAAATACTAAAATGTTGCTTATTTGCGAGCATAAATTAGATTTTGAATATTAGATTTTTATGCATACTGTACAACCCCACTTCCAGAAAAGTTGTGACATTTGGTAAATAACGGTTAGAGTACTAACACATCACAGATTCTTGTTTTAATTGCATTTTACAAAATGTCCCAACTTTTTTGGAAATGGGGCTGTTAAAAAACATGAGTCAAAGCTTTATGAATTTTCACGACATTTCTACTGAAACTGTTACCCAGTACAGTAAACGGAGTATGCATTTCAAAACATATCATTTGCAGTTTTTGAAGCATGCCATGGTATTGAATGATTACCACATTTAACTACTGTAGTTACATGATTCTTCAGCCTAAAAAATACCATATTACCAAGTTGTTAATGCAATGTTTATGTATTGCAGAATGAAGAAAAACAAGAAAATAAAAACAGCCCCATATACAAGCATAAAAAATTTAAAAAGGTTATATAATAAGGTTACATAAATTATAATAATGATGCATATATGTAAAAGTCTACTCAAAGGCAGAGCCTGATGTGGATGCTTAGGGCCCCTGTGGCCACCAGAGGGCCCCAAGAGTACATAAAATTACAGCTTTTTTTTTTTGTACATTATACATTATGTCAATGGACAATAGTCATTTTACAAAAGGTAGGGTCTCTTCTTGTTTTAGGGAAGTTCATGTTTGATTAAACATCCGTAAATAGCCTTGACCTCTTAATATATTATAATATAACATTTTACTTAACTAGTTTTAGATTAAAGCTTTTGTCTTGTGTGTAAAAATAACTTTTTTCAGGTATATATTTTTTGTAATAAAAATAAGCTGCTGTTTCATAAACTTGGTACTGATAACAGCTTAACATTATTTACCTTAGCCTACCCTTTGGGGTCTTTGCTATTATATTCCAATATCATTATGCCTCAATTAGCTAGTTATAGATTAAGAGTTGTTTTTTTAGATGTACAAATGGCTTCCTGTTGTGTTCAATAATTTATGTTGTTAAAATAGCATTCTGTTCCGTAAATGCATTGTCTGCTGGTTTATTTAGCTAGTTTTCAGCACACCACATTAAGAATAACACTTAGTACTGTAAGACTTTGAATGTTAAAGGGGTCATATGATGCGATTTCAAGTTTTCCTTGCTCTGTCTTTACATTTATTTTGAAAGATGAAGCTGGCGATTATGGTAAGAGCGTTACATTTCCGACGAGTGCTTGCGGTGTTCGGCCAATCACAATGCACTGGGTCAGCTGGCCAATCAGAGCAGACTGCGCTTGTCAGAAGGAGGGACTTTGTAGAAAATGAAGCGTTTGAGAGAGGCGCCTACAATAATGTACAGTATTTGAAAAATAATGTGTTTTCTGAACATTAAAGCATGTCAACATATTCTGTTACACCAAACACACAAAATAATGATCTTTAAAAAAGCATCATATGACCCCTTTAAAGTGCAAATTAACACCTGACCACTTTGCTACTGTTACAATTAAAAATCGTAAAAAGGTAAAAACATGCTGTTGAAAAAAACAGCATATGCTGGTTAAGTATGTTTTGGAGCTGGGATGCTGGTTTAAGCTGGTCCTTTGCTGGTCCATGCTGGTCGGACCAGTTTAGGACCAGCACATGACCGGCTAAGTACCAGCTTAAACCAGCAAAGGACCAGCTTAAACCAGCATCCCAGCTCCAAAACATACCTAACCAGCATATGCTGTTTTTTTCAACAGGGAGACATTGGTATGATGTAAGCAACACAGCTACAACAACAACAACAAAATTGATAATGGGTGTGTTAGATTTATAGTGTGCCAATAATCAAGCATAGGCAATAATCAGTCGAATTGGGGGCACCGAGGGGTAAAATTCTGCGTAGGGCCCCATAAAGGCTTCGGCTGGCCCTGCTCAAAGGATATCTCAGCTTCAGTAGATGCCGCTGACAGCTGCTCTGGGGAAATCTCCACTCGGTCTTTCCTCTTGTCTGATCGACGCAGAATTATGACAGAATGAATGTGCACAATGCGGTTTGTGTCCACCTGATGGTGAAACGCCATTTACACCGTTTCATAAACACACCTGTTATCGTTCAAGCACATTTATACTAAACAACACTTCGTAAACACAAGACATTCAAACCTCGCCAATGCAGAGCCCCATTACTTCCTCCTTCTCCGTGCTCAGAGCGTGATTCATGCATACTAGAAATGCGTCTGACTCTAAATGTACAGCGCTCACTGCCATTATATGAAGTACAATCTAAGAGTTAATGTTTTCCTCTGATTTGTTTGTTTGGTTATCACTGTATAACACTTCCACATCAGCAAAGCGCATGCGCTACATTCAATTCCTTCCGACAGGAAACGGGAGGGGGGAAAAAATCACATGGCAATCAGTTTATCTACGGTGAGCGGGAAGGGACATTTTAGGGTTCCCTTAGTGTGTGTGTGTGTGTGTGTGTGTGAGAGTGTGTGTGAGAGAGAGTTTGTGTTTGTGTTTGTGTGTGTGTGTGTGTGTGTGTGTGTGTGTGTGTGTGTGTGGAAAGCCGACTTGTCCAGTTAAAATGATCAGTCTTGATGTCAGGAATGGAATCTTTACTGGTAATTCTTAATTGCTGGAATTTTCAGCAATAAAAACACAAATTCTTGATATCAAAAATGACATCATCACTCACATAAATCAAATTCTTGATATCAAAATAAAATTTTAGACTGGTAAAAAAAAAATGCAATTCTTGATCTACTTGTAAAATATCACAATAATCTGCCATTCAAATGCAATTACAGATAGGTCTTTCAGATAATTAATTTATTAATATTTAAAATTCCATTCTGACATATTAAGAAAATCAAGTCAGCTTTATTTGCATAGCACTTTTTACAATACAGAGCTGGGTAGATTACTTACATACAAACTGTAGTCCGTTATACAGATTACGTGATGAAAACTGTAGTTAGTAATCTAATGGTAACTCATTTTAGGTAGGCTAATGGAATCAGACTACTTTTTAGATGACTTTTTATGTAACTTATTTTAAACTTACCATTAAACATGCCATTTCGATATAAAAAGCAAAGAGAAAGAAAATAATATTCCAGTTTTTTATATCAACATCACAAATTGCATTGAGCAGCATTACATTACACCAAGGTTTCCCAAACTGGGCTTAATGTAAGAACTGCTGTGGGTTTGTGGGTTGATAAAAACAACTAATAATTAATTATATCATAAAATGTAAAATGATTTATAATAACAAATGCAGTTAGTGAAATACTTTAAAATGATACACGTAATGTATGCAACAAACCAGTTCCTAAAAATGTATAAAACTCATCCTGAATCTTGTGTAGGCATATTCTGAAGTTTTTTTTTTCACTGTCATCCGGTATAGGCTACATGTATTCCCTAATTTACTTACTTTTTGTATTTTCCCCTTTATTTGTGTATGCTTACAGTTTATTATTAACAGTGTTGGGGAAAGTTACTTTTAAAAGTAATGCATTACAAATTGGAAAAAAACAAGTAACGCGTTACTTATTTGAAAAAGTAACTCAGATATTCTCTTGTAAATTAAAAAGTAATGCGTTACTTTACTATTTACTTGGGAAAAAGTAATCTGATTACGTAACTCGCGTTACTTGTAATATATTACCCCCAACCCTGATTATTAGTATGACCGATAACATTTATGTTCATTTTACATTCTATGCATTAGTTCATGATGCAGTAGCGCATCTCTAACACTATAAGGCGACACTGAACCGCTATTGTACTGAATGTGAAACGTGCTGCAGTTGTATGTTCAATATTCATATGTAGCATTCGCTGATAATAAAGCACACAAGCTTAAAAAGCCACAAAAAATGACTGTGTCGTTCCCTCAACATAAATCGAGACCACGACTTGACATCACGTGACCGGAAATGGTCTCCCTGCTGAATCCAAAACGGTCCGTGGCTTCTCTTGTAAAACAGAATTTTGTTCGCTGTCAAGTCTAAAAAACAGATCACTGCAGAACTAAAACGATTGTTTAATTGCAAGCATGAGTTGAAGATTAAAAGATGGGGCGTTTTCTAACCGGAAGAAGTTTAGAGTTGCAGTCTGTGACTGAGACGCCGGTGACGTCGCTGTTCCTGTGTTTACAAAAAGTGACAAGATTTCACTGGAATTATTCCTCCAAACTGCAGTTTGGGCGTACGAATCTTAAAATAAGATGCCACGGAAAGATCCTTGTCAAAAACAGGCTTGTGCCATACAGAAATGTTTACAAGGTAGCTTAATGGTCTCAATGTTAGGCTAACCTTGCTTTCCGTTAAGATTGCAGGCTGTTTATTTGAAGCAGTTTAACCGTTTAATGACTTTTGTATTTTTTAACAGCCAACAAATACATCGAAAGTCTTTGTGAGGATGTGATTCAAGCCATGAGGAAGTGTTGTGAAGTCCACGCTGGAGAAAACTCTGTCTGCTGCTCTGGATTTACCAAGGAACACAAATCTACAGACACAAAGACAACCCTTTAATAGAAAGCTATACAGTATGCACTGCAAGAGATCAGAGACTTTCAAGGACATGTGGAATACATATTCATCGTCTCTTGTAACTTTCATTAAATCAAGCTGTCACTATTTATTCAACAGTTTATAGTGAGAATATTATGCATTCAACATCTAGTGTCCATCATAGTGACCTGCTTTTTTTGTATGTTCAAAACACAAAGGCCTTGTAGGGACAGCCTTATGAAACGCAGATTACAAAATGAGAAAAGAAACTGGAATATTCTATCATGATGTGCTGAGCATTAGCTGCAATTTAGGGAAATGGATTAGATGTATTGTATAAATATCAATACAACAATCAAAACAAAGATGAGACAAAAAGGCAAACCAGAATTGTTTAAAACCGGATTGTCTATTTACTTTGAACATTTCTGTCATTATCGGATAACTTTTATTGACCCCTTGGTCTTTGAAGTAATGTCCAGATTTATTACAGAAATAGCTTTGAGCATCGAGTTTTAAATGCACTTAGCTTAGTCAGCATGACATACAACTTACAAGGTCAGATATGGGTTTTTAAAGGGCCAATTTCAAATGTTTCAACTATTTACATGTTTAAATAAGCTCACTTTTTAAGTCTTGTGTCAAAAATAGTTTGTGCCAAAATAATATAGCAAAATGTTCAAGTACAAACTAAAAACAATCCAAAAACTGAAACCATACATTCTAGCATCGATATATGTTTTCTATCTATATGAACACATCCTAAGAATCAAATCTTGATCTAAAAAAAAGGAGTGCTGAGTTAAATACAAGCTGCAATATCACACAAAAGCTGTAATCTGATGTTTGATGACATCCTCGGAGTATAAGACGTTACAATGAGAGATCCTATGAAGCTAGACCAAGCAGAAATCCACCAGCAAAGCCTCCTGTGAGAACAATGTTTTTCTTGACAAATACTTGCACCTGCGTGGAGAGAGAGAACATTTAAATGAATTCAACACAACGGCACGGCCTCTGTTTAAAATCAATGACAATAGGCAACAGCACACTTTTCATTCCAGTGATTTCCATTCATACACATGAGAATCCAGGAGACAGGAAACGCAAGCTTTCACTTTGCCCCAAAATTTTAATTTGGTGAACTTAAACAGGACAGAAAAGAAAAGTTACCTCTCATCAGCCTCACTTCTCTCTGATGTGTGTGTGTGTTTGTGTGTGTGTGTGTGTGTTGCAAGTTGAGAGTGTGACTGGCAGTCGAGGAGAAAAAGATGCACATACTATATTCTCCATTCGGTTGCTTTTTTTTTTTCTCAATACTATAAATAAGCAAATGTACACAGTATGATAACTATCTACTGGCCATGATATGCCATAAGTGTGATATACCCTATCTGAGATACAATGAGTGTGTGTTTTGAGCACACGAGGAAACAGAGTATTACAATTACATAAATGCATATGGGTCAAAGACGAAAAAGGGTTTAAGCATACAGCCAACAAATACATCGAAAGTCTTTGTGAGGATGTGATTCAAGCCATGAGGAAGTGTTGTGAAGTCCACGCTGGAGAAAACTCTGTCTGCTGCTCTGGATTTACCAAGGAACACAAATCTACAGACACAAAGACAACCCTTTAATAGAAAGCTATACAGTATGCACTGCAAGAGATCAGAGACTTTCAAGGACATGTGGAATACATATTCATCGTCTCTTGTAACTTTCATTAAATCAAGCTGTCACTATTTATTCAACAGTTTATAGTGAGAATATTATGCATTCAACATCTAGTGTCCATCATAGTGACCTGCTTTTTTTGTATGTTCAAAACACAAAGGCCTTGTAGGGACAGCCTTATGAAACGCAGATTACAAAATGAGAAAAGAAACTGGAATATTCTATCATGATGTGCTGAGCATTAGCTGCAATTTAGGGAAATGGATTAGATGTATTGTATAAATATCAATACAACAATCAAAACAAAGATGAGACAAAAAGGCAAACCAGAATTGTTTAAAACCGGATTGTCTATTTACTTTGAACATTTCTGTCATTATCGGATAACTTTTATTGACCCCTTGGTCTTTGAAGTAATGTCCAGATTTATTACAGAAATAGCTTTGAGCATCGAGTTTTAAATGCACTTAGCTTAGTCAGCATGACATACAACTTACAAGGTCAGATATGGGTTTTTAAAGGGCCAATTTCAAATGTTTCAACTATTTACATGTTTAAATAAGCTCACTTTTTAAGTCTTGTGTCAAAAATAGTTTGTGCCAAAATAATATAGCAAAATGTTCAAGTACAAACTAAAAACAATCCAAAAACTGAAACCATACATTCTAGCATCGATATATGTTTTCTATCTATATGAACACATCCTAAGAATCAAATCTTGATCTAAAAAAAAGGAGTGCTGAGTTAAATACAAGCTGCAATATCACACAAAAGCTGTAATCTGATGTTTGATGACATCCTCGGAGTATAAGACGTTACAATGAGAGATCCTATGAAGCTAGACCAAGCAGAAATCCACCAGCAAAGCCTCCTGTGAGAACAATGTTTTTCTTGACAAATACTTGCACCTGCGTGGAGAGAGAGAACATTTAAATGAATTCAACACAACGGCACGGCCTCTGTTTAAAATCAATGACAATAGGCAACAGCACACTTTTCATTCCAGTGATTTCCATTCATACACATGAGAATCCAGGAGACAGGAAACGCAAGCTTTCACTTTGCCCCAAAATTTTAATTTGGTGAACTTAAACAGGACAGAAAAGAAAAGTTACCTCTCATCAGCCTCACTTCTCTCTGATGTGTGTGTGTGTTTGTGTGTGTGTGTGTGTGTTGCAAGTTGAGAGTGTGACTGGCAGTCGAGGAATGCACATTGCACATACTATATTCTCCATTCGGTTGCTTTTTTTTTTTCTCAATACTATAAATAAGCAACAGTATGATGTATGATAACTATCTACTGGCCATGATATGCCATAAGTGTGATATACCCTATCTGAGATACAATGAGTGTGTGTTTTGAGCACACGAGGAAACAGAGTATTACAATTACATAAATGCATATGGGTCAAAGACGAAAAAGGGTTTAAGCATAAAAACAATAAGTGTAATACTGCTTTAAATTGTTGTTGTTTTTCCCCAAGTTTTTTTTTAAGTTTTACTTTTAATTGCAATTTTGTTTTTGTTTTTCTGAGCAAAAAATAAATATCATACATTTTTCCCTGATTTACAGAAGAGACCCATTAAATGTCATTCAGTGTAACAATCTTGTCAGGCATATTTACAACAAAAATCTATTTATGACATATTAAAAGACTAGTTACTTTCGCCCCAAATACTAGTTGTAATTTGACATTTTTAAAATTTGCCACTATCCTAGGTTTTGCCCATTTTTCAGTAAGAATTTTTTACTCATTTAAAACACATCAAATGTAATACGCTCCCTTATTCTTTTATATATTTTAATATGTACACGTCAGAATAAGCTGTTGTTTGAATTTTTAACATAAATATTGTGTTACACTGAATGGCAATGTAACATTATTTCAACTTTTATATATTTTAATATGTACACGTCAGAATAACCATGTTGTTGAATTTTTACATAAATATTGTGTTACACTGAATGACAATGTAATATTATTTCAACCAAATTTTGACATTTTATCCTCCAAAAACTTATTTGAAACCTTAAAAGTAGACACTTTACCTACACTCTAAAAAATGCTATAACCCAGCGCTGGGTTAAAAAGGGACAAACCCAGCGGTTGGGTTGTTTTGACCCAGCTATTGGGTTGTTTTGTTTTCAAAACAACCCAACCGCTGGGTCAAAACATCCTAATAGCCGGGTTTGTCCCTTTTTAACCCAGCATTTTTTAGCATTTTTGCAAAATTCTTTTGATGCGGACATCTTAACGTCTTTGTCCCATATACAAATTATACGTTTTTCTTACCTCATTAAATTTTGTTCTCACTTCTTTAGAAGGCTTGTCTGAATTCAGCTTCAGTTGCTTCTTAGCCTTGTTCACGTCTTGCTCAACTCTTTTCCAGTCTACTGTAATGTAGCCTGTGTGATGAGCAATCTGAAAGTGCATCGGAGACTGCTTATATCTTTAAACAATCATAAATAATATACGCTCTCAACGTAACAATTATGATAAGCACTTGGTTTTTACAGGTTTTAGAATTTACCTGGAGCAAAAAGAAGCCTCCACCTACAGCTGATGCTGCAAGCTTCCCAACTTTCTGGAACAAGTACCCTGCACACCTAACAGAAACACAAGAGTCAGCTGTTTGGTTACACTCTACTCAGTGTTTTGATCCGCATCAATGTTACACATAACGACTAACCAGCCGCTCACTCCTCCAATGGCCAACTGTGTTGCAACGGAGTACTTCTCAGCAGCTGGTCCAGAGTTATTTTTGCCAAACATTTTGTTCCACCACCTTTGTTTCTTGACATGCTCTGCCAGTTCCATCACATCAAAGGTTTCGCTGTCTGTCAGAACACAGTAATATTCATTTTATTTAACGTGTTTGAATTAATCTTACAAAAGTTTCAATATTCCAGATAAGGCTTTTTCATACTACAAAAGAGTGACAACTGTTTAGCAAGTAATTATTTATCAAAAGCGATACATCATTTGTCATACAGGTCAATAATACTGTATATAAGATTGTCCACAATAAAGAATTTTTTTCTTGCCTTTCTTTGATTTTGAGCACAACTATTCTATAGATATTATTTATAAAAAATAATATTTTATTTTATAATTCTCTTTTTTTTTTACTCTATGCCCCAATAAAAATATCACAATTCATTTTAAAACAGAAATTAAAAACCTATTCAAGGCATTGCATGTATGTCATTGTTTCTGTTATGTTGTGTCGTACCTGAAGGCATAGAAGCAAGTTTAAATAAGTCTACTTTAACATTAAAGTTCTACTTTACTGTTGGGGGTAGAAACACTGGCTGATACAACACAAGGTCAAGGAGAAACGCAGTAAGAAAAACAAGCAGATTAAATGCAATGCTACTGATCTCCATCCAGGTGTGATCATGGACTGTGGATACAGGAGCTCCCCGAGAGAGCGATCACTGAGAGCAGTCAGCATCTTTACGTGACAACCCTGGCTAATGATGTAACCTTGCAGCATTCCAGACATAAGCCAGACACAGAAATAGCACACTACTGCAGCCAACAGACTGACCACAGTATGGCTTTCAGACACATCTGAAGTAAAGAGACATGAGTTTAACATGTCACGAGTATGACACTCACACTGTGTCTGTATCCTGCTAATAATACAAAGCCCGGTCTCTTCTTCTTAGTGTTGGATCTTCAGCAATGGTTCTGTAGATTGTGTTTGTATACTGATCTATTTGGGCGTCAAGCGAATGTTTCTCTGTCCTTGACAGGATAATTCCAACAGGCTTTTAGGAGGAAATAACATTTGCTGTTTTAGTAGTCACATCCAAGGCTTCTCTTATATAATCACATATTAAGGACGAGGGGTGTGTGGCTAAATATGACTCATGCCACAAACATGAACTGGTTTTGCATGTGACTTTCTGTGCTTTGCTAGTGTGTGAATAAACGTGTTACAACGTTTTAAATGTTATATCATCTCTCTTCGTCGTTTATACACGTGGTTTAAATAGGACGCATTTTAATGTAAACTACTGCACACTGAAGGACGTGTGTTTACATGTGTGTAATCCTAATTCAGCATCTCTGAAGGTCCTTTCGCGACGAGTAGGTTTATTATAACGTCAAACAGAAAACTGGGTCATGTGCAGCCTTATTTAAATGTGTATTAAGTGATAGAAAACAAGAAAAGCATGGTGCTTACCCTTCTCAGACATTTTCCTGCGTGTTTTCTATCCGGACGATAATTTTCGTGCGCATCATCTGTGTCATGTGACCTTTACAGCGGGCGTGGCTTAGACCGATCGGCGTTTGACATCAAATACCGCGAGAGCGATTCGAAAGCATAAGGTGCGTCTGCTCTCGCGGTACTTCAACATCTTACACCGATCAGTCTGCTGCGCCATTAAATGTTTATTTTGGGCTGTGTGGATGATTTGATATTGCGAAACATTCGGAAGTAACCTTATAAATATTTAATCACAAATAAAGTAAAATAAATGTATTTCAAACTCATTTATAAATATCACCCTGTAATATGTCCTTGTAAACAGATTTAATTGTGATATTGATATACTTACATTTTGAGGTCTACAGAAACGTTTTTTTTTTCATTTGTTTTGGAGTTGTCCTTATTTAACCAGTTTTTGGTCAGCTCGTTTGTTAGAGATCATGCCCAGCTTTCAACTTTGTTTTGAAAATATTGTATTTGTTTTATTCACTTATGACATGTCTTTGCATAAGGAATATTGTTTGATTAATTTGTTACTTTTAATGACAAGTTTTCTATACATAAATGCAAGTACGGCAATTATAACCCATTATTTATCATTTTGAAATCAGAAGTTCAGCAATAGGCTACCTAAAATAATCTGATAAACAAGAAAGCTGTTAAGTGTATTAATTTATGTAAACATTTCCATGTTTTATTTGATTTTATTATTATTATTATTATTATTATTGTTGTTGTTGTTGTCTCCACCCCCTGGCTACTGTAAAATGTTGAATATGAGTGATTCAATAAAAATAAAAAATACAAAAATTATTTTGGAGTGAAATATATTTTTTTGCAACAGATAATATTCCGTTTAGGGTACTACTTCATTCATTTCTATGGTATCCACAAATAATATTTGACTGTCTTGAAACTCTGAAAGTTATTATTTCACTTAATCATTTGCCTCTCTTCTCATTCAATTTATTATGTTTGTCTATGATTTAATCTAAATGATTTTAATGTTTAATCAGTGAATTATTTGGTAAATCTATAGATTTCTATATAGATCCTGTTGAATTGTTTGCAACATGGCTGATTTGAAACATGCATCCATCGTTGAATTAACCGATTGCTAAAAGTATTAAACTGAAAGAATATACTGTTGTGTTTTGATGAATTAACCAAATGTTCTCATTACAAAGATCATTGTGCTTTGAAACAATTATGTAGACTAAATATTTATATATAACTGTAATGAACGAATGAGATAAGGTTCTGAAAGAGTGACTAGCAGTGTTACAATACAGACAAAAGTAATTAATTACCCTTACTTAATTTAATTGAAGAACGGTTTTAACAGACAATTTAATTTAGTTCATTCAAAATAAATCTGCTTAGTTGTGTAAACACAATTTAGTTGGTTTTGGTCAAACTGATTTGATGTAATAAGTTGAACTTAACTTTATTATATCTGCCAAACAAAACTTTCTCATAGGGGCACAATTTTATTATTATTATTATTATTATTATTAATTTACTAATTTACATAGCCAGGTGACTATGACAATGATAAGTACATCCATAAACTAAATCAATAGGGCGAGGTGAATTTAGGTAAAGTGAGCCATTTTTGGTTAAACTTGTAATTTATATATATATATATATATAAATATATACTATTAAACAAACCCAAAATTAAATTTAACAAACTCAAAAACATATAGCCTTGGCTCTGAGTAAAATTCAAAACAACTGATTTAATGACAACTGCATTGACATTAAATTTGATGAACTCTAACATATTGATGAAAATTAACTATACAACACATGAAAAATGTGACTATAACACATGCAACAGCAAATAGGCTAACAAAAAAACCCTGAAAAAAAGAGGAATAAGAGGAACATTTAATAATATTTTAAAACTAGTAATATTGTAAATCCCTTTTTTCTGTTTTTGTCTAAACACTTTAAATGAGCTTTAATTGTGACCATATTTTAAAGCTTTATACTCTGCATCTATATTTAGCTGCTGTCATCTATTTCTCACTCCAGATTCAACTTCATGCCTTGCCTTCCTTTCTGCTTTCTTTTTCTTTTCCTCCGTATCTGATATTCCTGATTGCACACTCATTTCTGATTTGTAAAAAGCCAGTTATACATGTCAATTATAAAACTAGACGAGTAAAGTTTGCAAATGAACTTTGAAGTTGGCTTGAAAAAGCCTTTTGTGAAAGTTTGAAGCAGTTGTAATAGCTTGAAGTTTAGATAGATAGATTAGATAGATGTAGATATCATGTTGTTAGCATGATATAGCACATTGTTAACATGATTTACCTTGTTAGCATGATTAAGATGTTGTTAGCATTTTAACATCATTAACATGTTGACAGCATGATTAACATGTTGTTAGCATGTTGATAGTATGTTTCTAGCATGATTACCATGTTAACATGTTGCTAGCATGTTTATCATGTTGCTAGCATGTCGTTAGCATTATTAGCATGTTGTTAAGCTGTTTTTGACATGATTAGCATGTTACTAGTATGTTGTTAACATGATTAACATGCTGTTAACATGGTTACCAAGTTGCTAGCATGTTTCTAGCATGATTAGCAAGTTGCAAGCATGTTGCTAGTATGATTAGCAAATTGGTAGCATATTGCTATCGTGTTTCTAGCATGATTAACATGTTACTAGCATGTTGCTAACATGGTTACCAAGTTGCTAGCATGTTTCTAGCATGGTTATCATGTTACAAGCATGTTGCAAGCATGTTGCTAACATGTTTCTAGCATATTACTAGCATATTGCTAGCATGATTAGCAAATTGGTAGCATATTGCTAGCATGTTTCTAGCATGACTACCAAATTACTAGCATTTTGTTAGCATGTTTCTAGCATGATTAGCATGTAGCTATCATGTTAACATGATTAACATATTGCTAACATGAAGGGGGACAAATCCAGCAACAAAAAAAAAAACAGCTAACACCAAGTAAAACCAGCTGATTTAGGGGGGAAACAGCTTAAAACCAGCTCATTTAGCAAAAAGCCAGCTAAAAACCAGTTAAAAACAGTTAAACCCAGTTGATTTAGCAAAAAGGCAGCTAAAAATCCAGTTAAAACCAGCTAAATCTAGCTGAATCAGAAAAAAAGCTAAAAGACAGCTAAAACCAGCCTTGGCTAGTTATCTAGTCTTAGCTGGTTTAATGGTTGGTCTTTTAGCATGTCTCCCAACTTGACCAGGTAAGACCAGCCTGACCAGCTAAAACCACTTTAAAACCAGCCTGGGAGACCAGCCAAAGCATCCCACCAGCTTAGGCTGGTTCTAGTTGTTTTTTTTTTCAGTAGAGAGTTGTTAAGCTTTGCTATAGCAATAGACAGCTAAAAACATCACAAGTCTCCTTGTATAAAAGGTTTCACCCCCTCAATTAAAGTCTATGGGATTTTGGGTGGTTTTGATATTCAGGTTTTCGAAAATCGTAAGCCGGATCAGTTATAAAAGATATAATAACTAACTTCAGAATAGTCTGAAGGTCTGGGCCGAGATTGGTGGTTGTAGCTTCAAAGCTCTAGTAGGAGGAGATACAGTCTAAATGGTATAGTAGATCAGTAAGTTGGCTTTTTCAAGCCAATTTAAAGATGACTGAATGTCAGTTTATTTAATGAATATGATTAGAATTAGTGAAGGTTCAAGCTGACCCACTTTACCTCACAGCAATATTGGTTTACATTTAGTGAGCAACCTTATAATCCAGAAATGAAAATATGAACATCAAAGGGCTTATTACCTTTCATGATGAGGGAGTCCTTCTTTGAGGTGTAATCACCAGGGTCATATTGCTTCAGTCAAAATAATTTTACCATCTAAAGAAATAGTGTCCCTTTAATTAAATAACATCGTTATGCTCTGAAAGTGTAAACTCATTGAGCACAGCACAATCAAGTTTAAACGGCCCACTTTACCTGAATTCACCCTACTGAATATAAAAAGTATATGTAATAGCTTTGCATTTAATATAATATTTAAGAGTAAAGTGTTATATTTTGTTTTGATTGTACACGTTATTTATATTTTTTTTAATTAATTTTTTTAATTGACATATTTGTCACAATCTCAGAAACCCCTTGCAGTTCTACTATGATTCTGTTGGGGTTTGTGGGGATTCCCTGTTCTACATTCATGTCCACAATTTCCCTAATTTTACATCATGATACGACTGGTTTACAGGATGTACATTCACCATGTCTGTAATAATGTAAGCATATTGTTTGGGTTCAAACATTTAATCAGCTGTTTATGGATCAAAGACAAAAGGGGGGTTTCAAGCATCAAAGCAAAAAAAGTTCAATACAGCTTTAAATTTTCCCCCCATAAATTAAAATGTGACCTGTTTAATTTTATTTCTCCTGTGCAAAAACATATCATACATTTTTACTATGATTTACAGAAGACACCCACTAAAATAACATTCATCGTAACAATAGTTCATAAACCAAAAAAATCTTGTCAGGCATATTTTGAAGACATTAATAGACTTTATTTGAGGATCACAGAGCAGCCCCTGAAATAATAATTTTATCCAATCTTTGCCACTAAACCACCAGGTTTTACCCATTTGTCAGCAAGAAGATTTTTAATAATTCAAAATACAATCAAATTTTGTATGTTATTTCATTTTTGCACAGATATATCTGTCACACTGAATGATGATTGAACATTAGCTATTTCAACCATATTTTGACATGAAAAGTTACTTGAAACATTAAAGTAGACACGTTACTTACATTTAATATGCTTTCTATGTATATCATAATTTTTGTCAATTTAATTTGATGTGGACACCTTTATGATCAGTTTTTCAGTTTCCAGAGATGCTTCAACATCAGTCGCCCAATGAGCGGAGGAAACACTTGCTGTTATTGATATGATTTATTTTTGAATTTTTGAACAGGCTTGTATCTCAACTATTACTTTAACAAAACAGTCTAGAACAATTGTCATGTATTCTCAATTGAATAATTTCTTCATTTGCATGTTTGATTTAATTTGTTTACTT